CGGGCCCCCAGCACTGTTGGTGTCCCTGCTGTTCCCACAGACAATGTACAAGGCCAGCCAGGAGAGCGAGTGCTACGTCATCGACGCCGAGGTGCTCACCCACGACGTGCCCTACCACGATTATTTCTACACCATCAACCGCTACACCCTGACTCGCGTGGCCAGGAACAAAAGCCGACTCAGGTACCTCAACATTTCTTCGTTTATTTCTTTTTTGGTTTGTTTTTTTTTTAATTTTTTTAATGCTGTCCCTCCCAGCCAGCATTAAACACCTTTGGTTTATCTCCTGGAGTTCTGTGCTCCCTTTTTTCCTTTCCCCTGGGTTTTGCCTTTTTTTGGCCAAACTCTGATTTGGGAATCCTGAAGGCAGGGCTGGGACCTGTCTGGGACAGTGACAATCAGGACAGAGACAGCTGTGCAAGAAGAAAGGACTCAATACCTACAAGAGAAGAAACCCAACAACTGTTTTATTTTTTTATTTTTAATTTTTTTTTATTTTTTTAATTTTATCACTTCAGGGATGCAGCTAATAGATTTTTAATGGCACATAAAAACTGTGTATGTGTGGGGGTAATTTCAAACAAGTGATTTAATTGCTGACACACCAGCTGCTGTGAGGGACTGTGTAGTTTCTCTGGGCTCAGTGTCTGTGAGGATTTTGTCACTTCTTTGTCCTGTTGCTGGGACAGCCCTGTCACCAAGAGAAGGGGCAGGATTTTCACCTGCTGGGTTGACATCGATGCAGAGGAGTTACAGCTGCATCAGGGAGAGGATTTACAGATTTTTCTTGCCTCTCTCTTGGATACAGAGGTTTGCAGAGCCTGTTATCATTTTCAGACTGTGATAAGCACAGGATGAACTTCCTGGGACTAAACAGAGGAACTGGGTACTGGGCAAAGTGATTTCAATATCCCTGTGAATTCTATCCCCGTGATTTCAATAATGATAATCCAAATGCCTGCCAAATGGCCCTGCAGTGCTCCTGGGAGAGGCTCTTCCTGCCTTTGGAAGGATTTTTCCAGCAGTGCTTCTCCTCTGGAAGCATGAAGGGCTGAGAGCATTCCAGAAATAACAGTGTGCATGATTATTTCCTGGATTTACACTGGCAAAGATTGGGAATTGACATCATCACCAGGAGAACGAGTGACCTGTTCCTGTTACTCCTCACAGGGTTTCCACAGAATTGCGCTACAGGAAGCAGCCCTGGGGGCTGGTGAAATCCTTCATTGAGAAGAATTTTTGGAGCGGCCTGGAGGATTATTTCCGTCACTTGGGTGAGAGTGGCACTGACAGTGGCACTCAGGTTTCCCTGGGAGTGGGCAGCCTGAGCCAGCCTTGGGGTGGTTTCCAAAAGGGGCAACCACAGCTGGAATAAATGACCTGCTGGAATTAATCAGGGCAGCAAATCCTGCTCCCTGGCAGGCAGTTTGGGGGCAAATTTTGGCAAAAGGTGCGAGGAATGTGGAGCACAAATCTCTCAGGCTCTGGCAGCTTCTTTGGGCCAGCTGATGCCTTTTTTGGGGCTGCTTAAAAACAGTGGCCAAGCAAAATTAGGAGACTGAAAAGCAGATTTATTTATTGGAGGGCCTTCAGGTACATTTGAGTGCATTACACCCAAAATGGACAATGGGTCACAGGTTTCACACTTTTATAAGTTTGGTCCATTTGCATTTTGGGGGTGAATCTGCCAATTCCAGCTTCAGCTAATGAAGTCATTGACCCCAAGTTTGCTGCCCCCAACTCCCTTTTGTTTCCATCTCTGGCCCTGAGGCAGTGAGGTGTCCTTGACTGCCAGGTCTGGAGAGGAATTGCTGTGTCTGCCCCAAATGGGGAAGCAGCAGCTCCCACTGTGTGTGGAGTTTGGAGTTCTGCACTAAAGAACTGCAGGTTACAAATAGATGGAAAATAAAAAAGCTGAAATCCTGGAGAGGAATTGTTGTGTCTGCACAAAATGGGGAAGCAGCAGCTCCCACTGGGTGTGGAGTTTAGTTATACACCAAAGAACTACAGGGTTACAAATAGATGAAAAATATAAAAACTAAAGTCCTAAGGGGGTTGCAGCAGAGGAGTTAAACCTTTCTCTCTATATAAAATGCTCCCTGTTGGTGCTGCAGCGAGTGACCTGACCAAAACAGATCAAGTATCCTTGATTGCCAGGCCTGGAGAGGAATTGCTGTGTCTGCCCAAACTGGGGAAGCAGCAGCTCCCACTGTGTGTGGGGTTTGGAGTTATGCACAAAAGAACTGCAGAATTGCAAACAGATGAAAAATATTAAAGTTAAAATCCAAAGGCATCACAGCAGA